GTTTTTAACTATTATAATGAGAACTGCCAGCTCTTTATCTAATCTCCCATTATGTATCTTTAATTATATAAATAACAATTCCACATTTGAAATATACATTTTTATACCTACGATATGTACATGAAGGCATATGTAAAATAAGAAAATTATATTGATGGTTGTATAGAATTCAGTCGAATGAATATATATATAATTACAATAGTACTACTATTGGGGTAAATGGGTTCAGTGTATGTAAGAATGGTGCATTCCTATAAATAGCGGGCGTCTTTTGTTAGAATTCTTTATTAAAGAATACATAAGATATCCCAACCAAAGCTCTTAATCCGATCAATGTGATTGGAATTCGATCTGTCCATTGTATTCGTATACGTTTAATTGTATTATATATGTACATTCAGTAATATTCCTATGGAGGATAGGTATATATACTTACATACCTAATAATAAGTACTGTCTATATGATTCAAGATTAACAATAACATAGAGGTGAATGACAAGGTCTCGGTTTAAAAACATTCCAATTAAAGAAGGTTACATTTCCAATTATGTATGTTGTCTTTATAGATACGGTGACCAAAAATGAAAATCTTATTGTAAATATATATACATGTACATAAGCGACATCTTAAGCTGTTTACTTTGGATGGTTAAACGAATTATCGGATGTTACATCAAACTTCTGATAAAAATGTCAGGTTAAAACTATACGTGTACGATAACTGCAGGTAGAATACACAATGGTGGCTTGATAACAAAAATATCTGACAGCTTTATCACTCCTTACTGTCTCTCCAGTCTCTCTTATCAACACTATTCATTGCTGACAGTTTTTTCACCGTTATTCTTTATTCGGGTGTCAGAGATTTTATATACTATAAAATTTTAATTCAAACCTAACATAGTTTTTTTTTCTACAACATTTGGTACCCCTTTTACTACATTATCAATGAAATCTCAAATGACTGTTTTACATGCCACTATAAGAAAGGTGTGTTTTATAGGTGTACTAGAAAGTCAAAAGGTATACATGTATTGTTCTTTCATAAAATATTACTTTTCTAACTATGATGTCGTTACGCTTAATGAAAAATATGCATTTTTAGGCAATTAATAAGATCCGATTTCTCCTATATCTTTCGAAATACTCTTTAATAGATGATTTTAAAATTTAAATTAATTTCTAGGAAAGAAACTAATACCTATGTAAAGAAGTATATATGTAGTACAAGTATATTATTTTGGCGAGTATCGTCGGGGTCTTTAATACCCATGCGTGTCGACAGTCTATAAATTTTTAATTCTTTACAAAAATGACACGACTTCATGATGTATTATCCTCGGAGGAGAAAGGGGTATTATTATACAAAGATGTGTTGATGGTTTATCTCTCCATTAAATTCGAATTTTAAAGACGGTTTGACTGTGAACCCATAAGTTACATCAAAGCGTGTATCAAAATGGTGTTATATTTACAAAACTACTTTATAATAACCCGTGGCGTATCTCTGATGGCCGCTGAGTTAGAACACATTTAATCAATTGTCGCCAAAAAGAATCGCATAATTAAATCATACTTCAATGTCGTGATCGTTGTGCAACAATAGAATAATTGGCATAAAATTATTACATGCGAAGTATATTATGTACGTTTAACGCCGCATCGTCAAAACATGTAGCCGACCTCTCCGACAGATTCTTATCAACCATAAATTTGTAATCAAGCGATCTGGATCAATTAGAGAGCAATTACTGAAATTTTGTTTTGATTATTACGTCATAACTACATATTAATTAGATAACATGGCTATTGATTAGAGGAAGTTACAGACAAGATAATCTAGAAAATTGTTTAGACTTGCACATCATGTACCGTATTTTTATTTAAAGCGTTCTGTTAACTGTTAATGGGCTATTAACTTTTGGATGATCAAATCCCACAAAAATATAACACTGGTATGCTAATTTCATACTTTATCTTTAGAAAACCTTCAACTTCATGGATGCATAGCGTAAACCTGGCAAACTAGTGTGCTTAACATTAAATTTAGTGTTGTGTTATGGGTACATGTAGCATTAAATTTCTCACCTTTAAAAGATATCATTATTAATACATTAACAATAATTGGCCTCAACGATGGGGCAAAATGAATTTTTGAATTGGATTGATCTGGTGTATTATCTGACAATCGATGGGAGAAACACTATTCCATTAAAATTTTGTTTCAAAAGATTAGGTGGAAGTCGGCTTGTTTACCCGTATAGCAACCCCTATTTGTATGTGTGTATATAATTGTATTGGCTTCTTGGTATAAAATAGAGTATTTACAGACTGTGTGCGGTTGATTAATAACATTGTTCTTAATGAACGTTATATTATCCCTTATAAACTGTAACCTAATCGCTTAAAACCTTCATTAAATTCACTCTAAACGAACTCCATTATTTCTGTAAGAAGCTAAGTCGTATACAAATTCTACGCGTTTGAGCTAACTATACTTATTAAGAAAAACAATCTATCGACAAGCCAAGTAAATATTTCTTGAACCTAACTATCTTTTTGACTGATCAGGCTAGAAATAGGCAATCAATCACTTCTTTCTATTGAAAATGGGTTTGGATCCTCGATACACTCATTCATCACAATTTTTCTTTTAACTTCTCCATGTGTAATTTCAAGTACAAGTACACAATTAGTTTTATCATGAGGGTTTTGTTAATAGTACACTCAAACATTAACTATCAAAACTTTAATTTCTTCAATGTTTAACCTTCAAATTTCAAAATAAGAGTTAACACCCTTACATTTGCAATTAATTTTATAATTGAGAACATCTGTAATGACGACGTTGTCTATCTATGGAAAAATGCATCGTTACTTACAGTGAACAAATTTGTTAGCTACATGTATGCGATCTTCTTGAATAAATGAGAAATGTCATCAGGTGTTCTATCAAGTAAACACACGAGAGAGAGAGAGAGAGAGAGAGAGAGAGAGAGAGAGAAAGTCCCCTCGACACAAACTGGGTCATTTTGAGACTAACACATGGTTCAATTTTATTTCAATAAATCGCTTGCGCGTAGGGGTCTTTAGCAGTGGGAGGAAACCGGAGGACCCGGAGAAAACCACGAGGTTGGAGTAGACAAACGAGTCAAGTCAGAGATATAGTACAAATGAGGGCCTGTATTATACAGTGAATAAAACTTGCTAATTGTTGCTTTGAGAACCCCCAAATCACCCACCCTAAAATAATCTATTAGGCCACGCTAAATAAATGAGTGGTATCGCGTGTTCTCGAAAGTAAGAAAATCCTGCATAACCAACACAGGTCATTAATATAGTGGGTTTCGTTTACTGTGTTTTCATCCTATAGGCAAATTAGTCACTCTTCGGTCATTTACATAGATAAGGCCTTGCCACAATAGATAACATAGTTAGAGATAGCAAAAACAAAAGTAGAGTTATCTAAGTTTGCTATCTATAATTATCATAACATAGATGTTTGTAGTATCTACAATAAACAGTAGTCCCAGTTTTCTACACACAAGTATTCTTTTCATATTTCATAGTAAGAATTAAATTTAGAATGATTACTTCACAAAGCCAATGAACTACACCTGCCAATTGTTTTTATTATAGCAGTCCGTGTGTATTCCCAATACATCCCGGAGTTTACTTGTCACGAGTAGCGTCCGTCCGTGGGGTTGACAAGGAGGGTGTTATTGGGATGAGACGAAATAATCCGTGTATTATACACATTGGCATATATATTTTGCACGCAAATAAAACTCTTTACAGTTGGAAATAAATGAAAAGTAAGTGGAAACGCTTCTCCCTGTGTAAAATTCTCCTAGATCGCGGTACACATGTAATTATAGAAATAAAAATTAACAGATTTGCCTCAAAATGATTATTGTATTCACGAGACATTAAACCCCATTTCATTGCTGCTTTATTTCTCAAAAATATAGTTTTTTGGGAGAGAATTATGAAATTGTCAGGGGAGATCAGGAATTCACATGACATGAACCAAATGTTGCTTTGTAGTCAGTCTCTGGTCGATAAAAGTGCATCATCCCGCGGGGAAATGATTGTACCAACCGATCCTTCCCCCATATTCCTCTCCAAATTATTCAGAGATATATTCAAATACCACAATGTAAATGTCAAACCAAATGTGCTCAATCAATAGCGTAACTAATCTACAATGTTATTTTTGTAGGTATGTCTATGTATCTACATTTAAATCTGAATAAATCTTAAATCTATGCCATTCGGCTGTGAAATTTGCCGTTGAAAATTTACCAGGTGTGCGGATTTGTAACAGCAAATTAAGTTTTAACGCATGGTTTCAAGATTTGCACATCGCCTCGCGGGTTTATTATTGAACGTCAACTCGTGAATGTAATATTACTTTGCAACTTGACTTCACATGAATTCTCGATACGTTTATGTAACATACAATTAGGTGCGTAATTGTTACAATTATATCTATAATTCCATTGTTCTGTGGAATGTCAAATATAATTGCTAGAACCAAATGATATATTATACACTACAATGTATTGTATTTTTTTATACATTGTTGACAATCAAAGGTATACATATACGAGGTTTGGCACATAGTAACGGGCAATATTATACAGAATTATGAACAACAATAGAATATTGGTGACATGTTTTTATGATATTGTATATATCAATATATCACAGCTCGTGAATAAATAGTCATTATCTAATATCAGTTTAGTGTCACATAGTTATCAATTACTGTTCTTGTTGATCGTAAATGGACTATTTTTGGTGACATATGAATTTTAATAAAATAGTAATTATCTTTGGGTTTTAATGTGTTTATTAATTTTCAAAATAGTTATTAATATTGGTTCTATTTTGGGTGAACACAAAATAAAATAGCAAAATGGCAGATTGAAAAGATAGTATATAATATTGACTGTTCGTGTTTGTTAAATTTTATTAATAAATTAATGGTACTTACTAATTCTAATAGTTTTAGTAACTGAGCCGGGGTTTCTACACAACACTGTTCTCCCTTTTGGTTATCTTTCCGAACAAAAGTATTCAACATTGTATCCTCTTCAGGACTAGGTCCTAACCTTATCTTACCACACGAAAAACACATTTCCTTGTTTTCTAAAATTTTGGCAACTTGTTCGCCTACTTTAGGTCGATGGGAATGATGAGCCATATCGTGGCTGAGTTTGCCATATAGACCTGCTACGATACTTATAAAAATTACAGCACCGACAACTACGACAGCTGCCAACCCATATAGATATGTTTTGGTCCTATCTAACTGGGTCCTTAATTTTTCACACTCTTCCAAATATCGTTCTGGTTTTAGCGCACCATTATTTGCTCTCGGAACGTTATTCTGTTTGCCCTCTATTAGGCCACGGGAGCACTCGGCGTCTGTCATCTTGCTAAGATTGTAAATACGTTCCTCTTCGACCTACTTTGTAAAACTACTCTCACGTACACTGCTAGCAGACGACTGCATAAATTGCAGGAATGGTTATAACTGGTAACAGAGCCTGGCTATGGCTGCCTTTATCAATCACTTCCCGACGTGTACACGGCACACAAGCGTTGTGTCGTCTGCTTTATTTCTGCCGCCGTAATGTTGAAGCCACGATCGGTAATCCCGACAGAAGCGTAACGGACCAATAATAAAGTCACCGAACTCCTAATACAATTTTTAGTGGCAGAAGGTAATTTTGGTTGAAGTCCGTTCCTGTCGACTTGTTAATAAACCTCAGATTAACAGAACTGGTATATGTACACGCGCTAAGAGTAATCTACAACAATAACATAGCTGATCACGTGACGCTATCGACCAATAGCTTCAAGTGATACATACACACACTCTCGAATCGTTTGGTTGAATCAATCAGAGATCTAATTGTTGACAGATTAATGTGTTTAAAAACCTTAGAGGCAATTGTTATGCAAAGTGACTTCTTTTGTTTTCTATAGAAAATTAGCAAAAACCACAATTTGTAGCTATTATCGGTATCGGTAAATGGCATGACAAGACAGATTTGATTTGATTCATATAGGATATAATCTTGTCCATAACGACAGGATAATTTTAAATCTCAAACTTCCTTATTATACCTAAAAGTGGCATTGACAACCCATAATTTGTGATTTTAAAAACTAAGACATTTTATGAAAACAGTTCAAAACAACCCCCATATGAAACTACTAGCATATATATTAAACAAGCCTTGAAAAATGACATAGGGTCGATGTAAAGAAATTTGGGATTGTTAATTGGATAGGAATATGATGAACATTTAAACGGCCCATTTGCCAATGCTGAACAGTAATGAATCAGCATATTGTGTGTGTCTTTCAGCTTATGCATATTCTGTATAGGCCTACGAAGAAAAAAAAAAGATAATCGCTCGGTCTATCCAAAATGTGCATGAGAGTTGGGTGGCCGAATGGTATAACGCGTGCGCGGTGCGCGTTAGATCACAATATCTGTCATTGAGTCAATGGCTTGGTTTCGTTTCCCCACTTGTACGTGTCAAAGAGCAGGATCGCCTGTGCATCCCCCGGGTCCTCACATTTCCTCCCAAAATTGAATCATGGGTTAGACCTAGTTTGTGTGTGTGTGTGTACCCCCCACCCCTCTCTCTCTCTCTCTCTCTCTCTCAAATGGCAAAACCAATAGTCCGCTCCATTAAATGGGACAAATAAAATGAAATAGGATTTAACTATGCCGATGGGATTTAACTATGCCGTTCTGTTCCACCTGAGGTAATAACTGCGGGCAAACGCCATACAAAATTCCAACTGCTGAGGGTTCTTTGACGTCCACGTCAATGTGTACGCGAGGGCCTGGGTTTCTCGTACTATCCGAACCACTATACGTTGTCCCTTGCCATACCCTCCGTCCTGCACCACTGGCTAGGGGGAACCACGCCGGAAATCTCCAGGTTAGCGAGCCAACATCTTACTCACTGAACCACCGTGCCCCCCTTTAAATGGACATCGATATTAAAGTAAAATGAAGTACAGATAAAGCGATCTAAAAGAAATTCCAAGATCTGGTAATAAAAGAAACACTGATTTGTCTGTAGAAACAGATTAGACGATAAATAAAACCAAGGTAATATAATTCAGTTCTTATCATTGTTAATTAGCCGACTATCAGGAACTGTATATAAAACAGACTATGTATAGTCCCTATGGGAAAGAACTTAATTATATAGGCTTTGCCTGTTGTTCAATCCTTTTCAAATGAATAAAATATTGTTTAAACTATAATACATAGAGTCCATTACATTCATATACAAGAATTCTGTTTTATTCTTTCGGCAGTTGATTTTGGTTTTGTTTTTAGGGCGGGGTGGGGGAGGGGGGTAAAAGAAGCCAGCCCCCATCTGGGATTTTAAAACAATGTTTAGGTAATTAATAATATATCTTCGGGATGCAGTTTGGCTAATCCTACATTGTGTACACAGATTCGGACACGTCCATCTATGCATCACCATTTTGGGAAAGGAAAGACAAGGGGTTTTAACACTTTGCCAATAGAAGACTGCCGTCATTTTGTGACTCACATAACAAATTGTGTGTTTTTACGTAGACCACTGATACGTAATGAAGCCTCTGTTTTTGCCCCATTCGTCCAAAACAGTACCCTTGTCACCGCTTCGGCGTAACCCCTGGCAATCTTTAGGGCTATTCTAGACCCAATCCATGATTCCAGTGTGGGACAATGGCGCTTTTAATTTACAGGGCCCCCTCGTCACTTTGCTTGAACGTTTAGGTCTAATGTCGTGGTGAGAGAAAAAAGGATTTTAGGTGAAAAGTTACCCCGCTATAGCTTGATGTCTGGGTGATATTGCCGGTAAATTCCCATCAAATTTGAGGAGTGTACGGTTTGTATTAATTTCGTGTTTTATGTGTCTTGAAACAACTCCACTGACGAAGATGACAGTGGTTACCCAGACCTCGTTGCTGGTAGTTAAAGGCCACCATAACAGTTCAAGCTAGGACACGGTGTAGTTGTGAATCCAGTATACAAACAAACACCACTCGTCCATAATTCTTAGTTTTTTTTCAACGAGGTTTTCGAAAATTGAGTATGCCTTTGATTATTCTATACTGTGATAATTTAGTGTAAACCATGAATTTTAATAATACATTGGTTCTGAATTATCAATTGATATATAATCAGATAAAAAAAAGGGATAGAAATGGGTCTTAAAGCCCACTTCGGGGCTAACAAATGACACATTCTGATTTCATTAATTTGTTTGCGCCTAGTGGTCTTTAGTAGTGGGGGGAAGGACCGGGAATAACCAACGAAATTAGGTAGACGACTTTACGCCGTGTCACGTACAAACCTGGGACTGAAATGACGGACTTTATTATCACCCCCTTCCTACCAGCATTAAAACACAAAGTAATGAAGTTGAAATGCGGAGCGTGAAGAAAAGGTAATATCTTTTAACAAGGACATGATGGAAGTTAAAACATGGTAGTTTCGTTGATTTTGAACATAATGAATGAATTCAGTCGGGTTTAACGTCCTACTTGTCTGTGCCATCCTGGCTAATGAAGACAGGAATGCGCCATCCATACAATGGGCTATGAGAGAAATTTGGTCCGGAGAACAATTGAATTCCAACTGTTATGGATTCTTTTACCTTCACTCCAATTGTACACAAACATTTCTTTAAACCCCCCCCCCCCCATAAAGACCTGACAAACAAAGTCAGGGTCTCGGCTTTTCGTACCACCCGCACAACTAGACACTGTTCCTTGCCAGATCCTACGTTTTTGCCTTTTAAATCAGGCTGATATATTTGTAGAATTGTAGGCCTATTGTAATTATTGATTTTTTTTTTTAAAGTGACCACTTTAATACCATTGTTTTAAAGACTCCCTTAACTTTAATCTTTTATTTGATAAACTCTAATAATGAGAAACAAGTCCAAACAAAATAATTATTAGGAAAACAAGATTTCTATATAGAAATGCGATTATTTTTGGCTAATTCATTTATTAGTTTTACATTTTTCAAGGATGATTATACATGTACGTACATGTAAGGGGGATAATCTAAGTAGGCTGACTTAGTAATGCCTTAGGTCTAAATTCATTCTTTTCGGCACAATCCATATTGTTCAAAGGACTAATTACTCAATTGAGTTAGAAATTGATTAAATTAAACGCAATAATTCAGAAATCCGGGAGATACGTGAATGATATTTTCGGATCTGTAGACATACTCATTATACTATTATTAAATTAAAGATCAGCCAACAATATAGAATAATTTGGAATTAGAATCCTGATTGCCTTCTATTATTTTTAAGATAAACCTGTATATCGTTTTAAGGGGATTATAAATTATAATGTTCAAAGTACTGTATAGCCTACTCTTCTTAAAGATTAACAGTATTCTCCCCTTTAATTACAATCACCGTATAGTTTGCGCTATACTCATTGTTGGTGATTAGCCTGGATTAAGCGGTGCATACTGATTTCGGTGCATTTGATGAGAAACTAAGAGCTTACGATTAGTGCTATTGCTTAAAAAATAAACATTATTGGCCCTGTGGACTGAAATGTAATGAAATGAAATGAGGTTTAACGTCCTACTACCCTGTGAACAGAAATGAATATACTATCGACCTCTCTCGCGGTTTTCCCTGGTACCCGCTTTCGACTGGCTCGTCTCTACTTTGTTCCTTGTTTTCATAGGACTATTTTATAACAGTGAAGATTCACTGTCTTTATGTAACCCCTTGCTAGAATAATTCTCAACAGCACCAATTGTTTATTATTATTATAAACGTTTTTTTTTGGCAAATATGTCACGGTTATTGTGGCTTATTTTTGTCGCATAATTTTGTAACTAAAAAGGTAAGGTAAGTAAACCGGATATGGAGCGAAGCAAGCAATAATTATTTTACTGATAGGTTCAGAGAGCAGTATTCTGGATATTCTTAACTTTGAATGTATGATCATTTTTGAATATCTAAAATATCTAAAATAATATCTAAATTAATATCTATTTGGATGTTGGGAGCCGTGGTCTTTCGGGTAATAGAGCGCTAGTTAACTGACTACGGAATCCGGGGTTCAATACCGGTGTTGGCCGAGAGAGTTTCCACGGATTTTTCAGTGTGATTTCCTCTTGCCATCTATACAGCACGGAGGGCCTGTCAGGGAAACATGTCTTGTCAGGACGAAAAACCGAAGCCCCGCGTACAACTTAGCTTGCACACAAAATAACCCCTTGAATTCGAAATAGTATTAGACCGTAGCAACGCTGCCCGGACAAAAATACCCCTTCATTACCCCAATTGATGCAAAACAGTACGATGTTAAAACACATTTTATTTGCATGTACACTTGATTTGAATGATTCAAACAAAGGGTTCATTGAAAAAGAAATAAGGTTTCGCCTTGATTCAAGTTTTCCTTAATGTTCAAAATGGCTGTATCTTTTAAGTCATGAAAATAAAATTGTATGACATATGATATGCTGCGTTAGGTAAAGATATTGTAAAATAAAACTTGTATAAAAAAAAAATACCACTCAATAAAAATTTACACCCACAGAATGTCTAAAGCTCAATTGAAACAGGTAGAGCTTATAATGGTGGGCTATACAGTTTACAATAGTCTTTTTATATATTCTCGCACTTAAAGAATTAAGATCTTCTTAATAATGACACGTCTTGAAAAACACCTCGTATTCTAAGAATAGAACAATGACGTGATAGTATATGTGCGTAAATACGTATTACTAAAAAAGTATATA